TGAAGTTGATGGCGATACGTAACTGAACAAAGCGGACAATATTTGCTAGCGGTGAACTTAGGCTGTTATAGAAGCAAGGTGTCCACCCCGCTTGACTTGCCTCCCACTCACATTGCAGGTACTCTTGCTCAAAGAAGATAACCTCTTGGTAGTTGAAATCCTCGTGAATTCAAAATAAGAGGCAAGGGTCGGAGTTCACACCAGTAAGACCTTATGCCACAACGACAATAAAAACCCACATGAGATAAAGGAGAAACTTGAAGAAGTTCAAACACAGCAAACAACACTTGAAAAAGTTCAAAACACAACGTAAAAGAACCTTATATAGTTTCAAACACCTTGTTTAATATGATCAAATGGTAATGGGGTCTCGGACCTTTATAGCTAACCACATAGCATCAGTGCTCAAAATTTGGGACATACCTCGAGCAAATATCTACAAGAAACTCTCCCAAGTTGAGAGGGATAGACTCATAGATCGGTGAACCCTTCTTTAGCATGACGCACAAAGCTTGTACGATCCACCGAGTCGACTGCTAAAGGAGCAAGGATAAATCCCAAACGCCTTTGGTGATTAGCTCACCTTTGAGAATGGTAGTTGTTTACGACTCGGCTCATATGAGCTGAACTTTGCAAGCACAAGAAAAACGTTTTTTTAGTTCAACAACATGAGAATGAATAGAAGATTTAGACCCATTTGGCCTCTTAGTTTCGAGTATATATTTTAACAAGTTGAGCTACGATGAGTTTGACAAACCCGAGCAGATGTTCATGATACCGTAATCATAAGTTTCTCAAACTTCAACAAAAATTATGAGAGAAATTCAGTAGAGGCTAGCCAGATCGAGTATAAAGTTTAGTTTTCTCATTGATCTGTGTTTTGTGTGTATGTATATACATTTTCTTCACTACCTAAACAGACAAAAAATTGTGTTTCTTACAGTAAATCAGAATGATTTCTTCAAGAACTTAAAATGCATGGATGAATCAATACAATCTAACCTATCCTTGTAAAGATTCAACAATTTCAACATCTCAGTGACCTTGTCTTTCATGTCACCACCGCAACCAACCTGCAAAAGAACAATTATCTTCTGGAAAGCACCCAGTTGAGCAGCTTCCACCCTCGCCTCATCCTCACCCTTCTCTCCACTTTTACAAAGCTTCAACAATATTGACAGACAATACTCAGATGCAACCTCTGATACTCTTAGGATCTTCTTGACTAACAATGGAATTGTTAGTGCATTTTGGTATAGCTTCTCTCTTCCTTGTTTAAAATCACAGATTCCATCCAATACTCCCAACGCTTTCTCACACAGGCTTTTCTCTGCATCTACAAGAAAATCTAGCAGCTGAGAGACCAAACCCAGTTCCATGAATTTCATTGTCATTTTCTCGCTGATTTCGGATGGTAAAATCATGTAGAAAATGGCTGTAAGGGATGATTTTGTAGCTGAAGGGCAAAGAGGCTCCCTTATGATGCTTACTAAAGCTTCGGATACTCCTTCAATGGCAGCCAATGAATCGACGTATCTTTGATCAACCAGAAGCAGTTCTTTCAGAACAAAAACTGCGTTCTGTTTTGGAGAAAGATTTTTCCCCACTAAGAAGGAAACCAAGCATTTCAAGGAATCCGCAGATCCGAGCTTGGATAACCCTTCAATGGAGATTGGGAATACACATACCAAAACCAACAAAATCTCCTCCAACAAACCCACATGTTTCTCAATCGAAACACCAGCAAAATGCTCAAACGAAGCTGCTAAAACAATCCCAGTTCCCCCATTCACAACGCACCTCCGATTCCTCTCGCTCTCTCTCGCCCAATTCCTGATCTTACCCACCAATTCACTGCATCTCTTCGAATCGCCTCTTTGAGTCGCGACGGCGATTCTCGAACAAACGTCATTAACTTCATACGGCGTGACTGGAATCCGCGGTGTTGGAATTCGCTCAATTCCGTAAGAATGATTCGCAACGCACCAATCTTGGATCATCCTCCTCAAGGTGTGATTAGGGATTAGGTCAAAACTCATCAAATCCTGTTTCGTCACAGGACAAGAAAAATTCCCACCCTCAATCCACTTCTCGATGCTCTCTCTATCGTAAGTAATCCCCGTGGACAAAATCACAGGATCCTTCATCAAATCAAGCGAAATCGGACATAGAAAATGCGAAGGAATCACAATTTCGGAACCCGAATCAACGCCCGGAAGATGCTCTTTCTTCAACTTGGGGAGAAACCCAAGTTTGCTTTTCCTCCATGACAAGAACATTGTAGCTTCTGCAATTGAAATCAAACCAGAACGCAGAAAACAACAAATATCGTCTACTTCTTCCTCTTCCTCTTCCTCTTCCTCTTCTTCTCCTCTGTTGATTCAGCTGGTCTATGAATCAATGGAGAGATGGATTATATATCAAAAGAAGGAGAGATAAAGGGAGAAAACTTGAAACGCGGGTCCAAATTCAACGCCCAGGAATTCGAAATTCGTAAAAGAAAATTAAAGAAACGAAGAAAAGGAGTAGCTCCTAATATGGGATTGAGCTGCTTTTGAGCTTTGACTGCTATTTTGTTGCGTTGCGTGTTAATTGATGAAAGAGACGGAGGCAGAAAGAGATGAGGGTTTTCATAAAATTAGGGCTTTTCCTTTTCTATTAAGAAAGCCGAAAATCTTGACAAAATAAATAATGTAGCACAAATTATGACCCAACTTTACATAATTTAATTAACTTTTTTTTCTTTTTTGTTTAAATTAAGGCGGTATAATATAATACATAATTTTGTGTAAAATTAATTAATAATTAATGTTGCAATTAAATATAATATAATATAAAACATAATTTTGACAATGGTTTAAATTGAAACCAAATTTTTAATTTTTTTATGGAAATATGTAATATAATTTTATTTTCAATTAATCTCTTATTTTTATTATTATTTTTTTAAAAAAAAATCGGAGAATTTAAATTAGGATTTAATATAAAAAACAATCTTAATTTTTTTTTTTGTTGGGTTTTAAAAATTCTTAATTACAACATTTGGTTGAAAATTTCCACTCATCAAAATTATTATTTTATTAATATACTGACTACCTTAAATTTTTAAATTTATACTAATTACTTAACTAATTGAGTTATACTCAAGTTTAAAAATGAGCTTGATTTATGGTTAACGACCTTCCATATATATTAGAAATTAGAAAAAATTTGAGAAGAGAATTTGGATCGAAATTAAAAAAAAAAAACCATATTTTGGGTACCTAAAAATCATGAGCATATTATAAATAAAACATTTGAGTAATCAATAATAATTATAAAAAGGAATATTGAATTTTTTAGAAATTGATTAGTTGAAATGGAATTATTAGGAGAGGGAGAGGGTGGGTTAGCTGAGCTTAGCTGGATATTTATTGTATGTGTCCCATGTATTTTGACCGTTGACCGTTGAATATTGAAATTGGCGATGTAGCCAGGTCTATATTAGGAGGCCAACAAAATTAAATAAAATAAAAATTATAATTTTGTAAATATTTTTGTTTGACCGGTTTACTCGGTTTCAGGTCGACCACCGACTTATTGACAGTGTAGCTTGTGGATCAGGTGCGGGCAGGTGTTGCTTACGATTAAGATGCTTTGTTTGTGGACCGTTGGATTATTGATGTGCCATTTTGATCGTTGCTTTGGTGTTTGGTGTGGCTGGTGGGCTCTCATTAAATTTATTTAAAATATTTTATTTTTCGAAAAAGAATTGGACGGTGATCATCCTTTTTCTCTCTTTTATATTTTATATTTTATATTTTAATATAAGGTTCCATGATTTAAATAACTTAAATACGTTAAATATAATTCTTCACACTACTTAAATTTATTTTTAAAAAATTTAATAGATCATAACCAATTTTAAAATATTATAAACCAAGGTTAAGAAGCTAAATTGTTTCTTCCATCAAAATCATTTAAAAATAAATAGATTAAAGTATATGATAAAAGTGGAATTTTAACCTTAATTTCATTTTTTTTTCCAAAGATAAGATTAGATTATATATTAAAAAAAAAGTTGAAATAAGTATATAAAATTAAGCAATGTAAATTTGATAAAGAATTATTTCCTATTTCAAATACAAATTTTAAATGTATGGGAGATAGAATGAGTTGTCCAATATTAATTAAATAAAGGTTCGTTGTACTATATATATATTATATATATAATTTAAAAGAAAATTTGTTTGGTAATTAGTTGTACCCCTCCCTTTTTGCTTTTCTAGCCTAACTCTAATTTTCTTTTTCTTATCTTTTTTGTTTTTTCTCGAAATATCAATTTCTCACAAGTATTATACCTTAATTTGCACCATAAAATTTTAATAAAATATATAATTTTTTTTGCGAGATTCCACGTTAGTTAATCGTATAGAGAAAACTTGAGCAGTTACAAGTCAATCTAAAGTAGTTAAAAATATATATATATATATATATATAAATTAAAAAATATATAATTAATTAATATTAAAAAAACAATTATATTTGAATTTATTAATATTATAATATGAATTTTTTTTATTTTTTAAAATAATTTTTATATATTTGTTTGTGTTGCTAACTTTTTGATCCCTTTTTTATGTTTGTTCTTTATTTTTATTAATGTTTAATGTATGTAATTAGTGGTTCTGGATTGATTTAAAGTTTTGCATGTGATTTTGGACTAATTTAAATATTTTTTTATTTGGCATTTTTTTAAATAAATGATATGAGGCCTTTTTAGGAGTCCCACCCACGGGATTGAAAACGTTTAGCTTAAGCATTCTATGGTTGACCATACAATTTACAAAATTATTCCTAATGTTGATGACACCACAATCTAGAGATATGCATGGACATACATCGTGCAACTTATTGAACAGTTTCTTTTTGTCGGTAAATCATTTATGCTTATCCCCTTATGTTTAAATATTTGTTAGAAAATTTTAAGGAAGCTCGAAAATATATTGTCGAGCTAGTCGTGTTGAATCCTTAGAGATAACATAGCTACAAATGCTCGTGTAAGTATGTTACCACAACACAAGTTAAATGTTAGAAGAGGTAAATATGATCATGATTGACGACAATATCATGCAAATGTGTGCAAAAGAGAACAAGTTATCTAATAAAGTAGAGGCAAACACAAACAGAATTCTTTGATGCAAATATGGATACCTGTTTCTAAGAACGAGTAAGGAGCTGTTGAAGGGAACCGGCCATTCCACGACGTCGTCCCTGAAGGTCGGGCAAGTTAAAAATGTATGTCTTCATGCATGCCATGTTTGTAACTTGTGGTGCTAAAACAAGTAAAAAAGACTCACCTTTTCGTTATTAAATAAATCTTCAGATATAGCTTCCATTTCCTTGCGCTTTCTTTCCTCTTTCAAGGATTCTGCAATTTCTTCCCTTCCATCACCGTTATCCCTAGAAACCCATAAAACAATGGCAGGTGATTTTCTTTATCAGATTCAGAGGTCGAGGTGCGGGCTTGAAATGTTTAAAGATATCATATTAATTCAACGTGAGATACCCAACTTTCAATTAAATAAACATGAAAGAATATGTAATGGCGTCTCTACTATGCGCCAAACACATCCCAAATGACTCCAAGACATGAGAAAACACTTACTTGTAAGGATACTTATCAAATGGAACAAGATTATAAAAGCTATTCCCAGAGTGAGTTTCTGTCTGCAAAAAAGTTTAAAGGATGTGCGTATTAACCTCCATAACATTTTTCTCTATGTGCCACCTATACGAGAAACAAACACTGTTTTTACGGCTACTTAAATAATGCATATTCGAACAGTTGAATGCAAAAATGATCACGACCATCATTTGGTTCATCGTTTAAGATTAAAAAATGCATACAATGGTCGATCAATGGGAATTGGTAATGATCTTATGACATAATAAGAAGATATAACTAAGATTTCATCAATATCAAACAGTAATGTGCACACCAGTTAAACGAAATGGTGCAGATTATAACATTCAGAGGCTAATAGTAATACCTTCCTGAAGCGTTTGAAGTTCGTAATTCCACCGTCTTCTGCAGTAACTATTGATGAGGGTTTCATCACGTGTTGCACGATTAAATTTTGGGTGAAAATAATGTCTATATTGCTGTTGTCAGATTCATCGACCTGGTCGTTTCTCATTTTGACTCCACTGTAACTATTTCTGAATGTTTTATGGTCCCCAGCTGATCCAGAAGCAGCATGGTCGATGGACACCTCTGGTTTGCTTAAATAGTCCTCTGGTTTGCTTAAATGTTCATCTGGTATGCCTAAATGTTCATCTGAACCTTGGACATTAGAAGCAACTGGTTTATCGGTTTCTGCTTCGAGATCGGATTCTGCTACCACGGTTTCATCAGTGGAGCATGTAGAGGAACCTGGTTCTGCAAAGGAACTTTATATTCAGTCAGATAAATGAAGTTAAAATGAAGAAATATAAACAGTTTTTAACAATGAGTAAATATACTACAAATGAAACTGGTAGTGAGTAAGACGTCTTACCACAGGGTGATATCAAATTGTCTCTGTCCAGCTTTCCACTCAAAACAGAAGATATCAAAACCAACTCAGCTATTTTATAATAAGAATCAACCTTATAGGATGAACCCAACTTTTCTGCTAATCCTCCAGGAATAATGAATACTACCCGTTCATTTTCTCCATTACCAAAGTCCTACAACAATTATCATACAAATCAATTACCCAATAAACACCAGGTTCATAGAACTGAAATAAATAAAAGAAATGAAATAAAGATGTCGAGTTGTTGTATTTAGTCCAATCAAAGATCATAAGGCGCCATTTGAGACATATTTTAAAACACAGCTCACATCTTAAGCCTTACTGGTTGGATAGTAATTAATATTCGATTGGCATTGACATTAACTATATAGATGGTTTTTGTAATCAATCATTATGGCCCCATGTGATGCAAGTTATACTTCATTGCAATATCGAAACATCTATTACATGTCAACAAATTGATGAAGTGTATTAAGCATGTATTATTCATAACACTCAATCCTAGAACCCATACGCTTATTAGTAATGCAGTTCATGTTGTTCACAAGACCATATTGCAGTCAAAAATATTGTGAATTAGAATCTTTTTACATGAAATTAGTCAAACAGTAGTTTTTACCCACGCCTTCACAAAGCAATTAGGAAAGAATGGATATAGTCTATGTGGAAAGAGATAAAACCTCGTTTTGGCTATCTGAAGAGAAGTCCTCAATAGACAAAACATTTGCACCACCAACTTGTTGTAATAGCATCTTCAACCGATCCCCATATTTGTACTTCCAAAAGATAGGAAATTGAATATCAAAATTATTGAATGTCTAAGCAATCCACCAGAAGAGTTATTTCTTCACAGAAAACTAAAGAATAGTACTAAACACCACAAGCATCCGAGAAAATTTTGTCATAAGGTAGAAATGGAATGAGATTTAAATTTTTTTTCCTTCTTTACTTTATTTATTTCAAACCCCTACATGTTGGGTTAACTAAGTATATCACAGAATAAAAAGACCATAAGGCTAAGCAACTCTCAAGAATGTGAAAATGAAAAAACAGAGCCTTACCATATGTGCCGACCCTAATAAAAAAATGTATCCACTCAAACAGTTTTTACGAGTGTTTGGATCCACAACTTTGACATGCATCCCTTCCACAGTCATTGTTGGATGATAGCTGGTTCAAAGAACAAATACAAAAGGTTGAGAGTGAAATGCAGGAGTTCAAAAAAAAAAAAAAATACTATTACTCAAGAATATGTTCCCAGCCAAACTTAAAAAAGGCAGCACTTACGAATCAAAGCATGGAATCTCGTTACAGGAGGTTTTTCCTGCAAATAACTAAAGTGTAACAATCAGTAAGAATGCAGAATCTCGCTTGTCTCATGTTTTTGCTAATTGCATTGTTATGGAAATAGAAAGAATCAGATATATGATCTCCTTTTTTGTGGACTTTTTTTTAATGCCCTTGTATATTATTTCATTTTTCAACGAAAACTCAGTTGCTTACCAAAAAAAAAAAAAAAAAAAAAAA